GTTTAGGGTTTATGGGTTTGGGTTTAAGGGTTGGGGGTTAGGGTTTAGGGTTTAGGGGTTGGGGGGTAGGGGTTTGGGTTTAGGGGTTAGGGGTTTGGGGTTTAGGGTTTAGGGTTTAGGGGTTTGGGGTTTGGGTTTAGGGTTTAGGGTTCAGGGTTTTGGGTTTAGGGGTTTGGGGTTAGGGGTTCGGGTTTAGGGTTTAGGCTTTAGGGGTGGGTTTAGTGTTTAGGGGCTTGGGTTTAGGGTTTAGGGGTTTAGGGTTTAGGGCTTAGGGCTTTGGGTCTAAGGCGTAGGGTTCTATGATCTCAGTGTGGTAAATCTAGGTTTCTTAGAGTCCCGGCCCTTCAGAAAGAGAAGCCTGAGAAGTCCTAATATGAATCCTCAGGCCTCCGTACCATCATTATAGCAGAATACGCCCAAGCCCACGCCCTTCTTCTGACTATCCCAAATGGTCCTAGGTCCTAGGTACTGTTCCCAAATCATAATGCATGACAAGGATTTCCAATGTAGAGACCCTACATTCTACTATATAGGTACCTTGGACCCTTTGGGTATCAACGCCCTGCATGAAACCCTCCGGTGTTAACTCCCACCTTGCGCCAGGAGTGCTTCCCCTCCATGATGCACTACCTCTTCAGGTATGGCAGATCTTATGAGGCCCTGTAGAGGCTTTAGGGTTTGGGGTTTGGCGGTTTAGAGTTTAGGGCTTATAGGGGTTAGCGAGAGTTTAGGGATGGAGGGTTCAGGGTTCAGGGTTTAGGGCATGCATGTCATTACATCGTAGGTTTTGCGAGGTCGGTATTCTGGTTGAAGCATGGTAGAGGCATGAGTTTGCCTTTGCTAAAATCGGGGTCTAACTGTACAAGATAGTAACCGTACCTCAACCATCCCCTTCTGATCCCCTTCTGTATAGTCCCCAATGTAGTAGCTAAGCAAAGCAGATAACGGTATGCCAGGTAGCCTGGCAAACTCCGTTGTGAATGGGTGCTCGCTATGCTTCTAGATTTCCAGCTTCCGCAATTTGGATCTTCAGAATGTGTGTTAGGCTGACTTTCTGAGGGGAATTGCGAACATGTACCGCCGATTCGCGTGTGTCTGTGGCATTTTTGGTATGAATCCAAAATTGAGCTTGTGGTGATCTCGACTTGGTGAGGAGCTGCTGCTAGCCCAAACCAATGTGGGCGGCGAAAACGTACACCGAGGCAAGTGCATGTGGGTGGATTGACATATTACCCTAAACCCTAAACCCTAAACCTAATATGAAGGGTCTGTTTTGCGGTCCCACAAACGTACTTCACTCTACCACAAAGGTTTACAAAGATCCTAGACGGTGGTAGGTACTTGCCAGATGTGCCGGGTCCCATACCCTGAAGGGTCCATGTGCCCAACTTGCGTCTACCTGGAGACCTGCCAGCCCTCGCGGCAAACCTGCTTGCAACTTACCCTAAGGACCCAAAGGACCCATTAGGCTTAGCTAGTCATGTTGGCTATATGACTGTAGCAAATCCGTACGATCCTGTGCAGATGGATAGCTGTCGAAATTATATCCATGTTTTGTGTCTACAGTACAAGAGCGATGTGTTGTGACGGGGACGCACACAGGGATCCGAAGCCGGATCCAACAATTGGGTAGTTGGGTTTTGGTAGGGTAGTATTGAGTGGGAGCATATGATCATGAGGTATTTGGGCCCTCAGGACTACATGCCCAAAGACGGAAACAAGAATGCAGAAGCTTCGTATAGGCCCCTGATCCATGCAGTATGCGTGAATCGGGCGTCTTCTGCTACATCATGCCCTTCCTTGCAAACGGAGCTTTATGCGTCAGGGGCTTTCCTCTTATTGTTATGCCCTAAGACTCCAAGTATACAACTAGTCCCTACTTAGGGTCTAAAGTCCATAGACCGTACCTACTTTGGGCTATTTGGAGTCTCAAATCCCGAAACCGCTATAGTGTTCCTTTCTAAGGCATTAAACCCTAAACCCTAAACCGCTGTGGTGTTCCTTTATAGAACGAGGGCTGAGGTTTTTCGGTCACCCAAGGCCCACCGTCAACGATCGGCCAGACACCAAGCGCAGCAATGAGCAATGCCCTCCCTAATTTTACTACTGTTGATGATAAAAATCCTGCAATAATAAGGAATATACCAGAATTCCCATCGTTTAGGGTCCTTAACATAATGCAGGGTTTATATCATCAAAAGTATTGTTGTTAGTGTTGTTATGTTATTGTTATTATGTCTATTGGTGTTACTATTGCTATTGTTATTACGAGTAGTACTGTTATTTTTATTCTTGCGAAACCAAAGATCCCTGAAGCCCTTGAAACCTTAAGAGGAACCAGCCGAAAAGGACCCCTTGTAGGAAACCCTCAGGTGGGTAGTTACCGTTATGGGAGCCTTATAGAAAGTCTATATACCTTATGGAAGCCTTATAGAAGCCCTATATACCCTAAACTCCCCACCTGTAGTTTCCTCTAACCTTGTAGGAAACCTAAACCCTAAACCCCAAACCCTAAACCCTAAACCCTAAACCCTAAACCTCAGAATGCAGGAGCTCTGCTGGGTGCCTTGGCCGGTGCCGCAGTGGGGCTCCAGGGGCTTCCAAGCGCCTGGTGCTCAGGGCGCCTTGGATGTCATTGGGTTGGTTTAGGGTTTAGGGTTTAGGGTTTAGGGTTTAGGGTTTCATTGGGTTCCGGAGGGCAGCGCGGAACATCCTAGTAATCTCCCATTCTCCATAGTACTAGACCCTAAGCCTTAACCCTATAAACCCTCATTAAACCCCAAACCCTACAGCCTAAGCCCCAAACCCTAAACCCTAAACCGCTACTTTAGGGACGCCTTGGACTTCCCTGCGCACATTCAGGGTTTGGGGGGAGGGGATGCTTCGAGGCTTTCGGGGGATGCTTAGAGAGTGTAGATGTCTTCTCTTGTGGGGTCGGGTTTAGGTTTAGGGTTTGGGGTTAAGGGTTTAGGGTTTAAGGTTTAGGGTTTAGGGTTTAGGGTTTAGGGTGTTTTCATTGGTTTTGTTCGGGTTTTCTAGAGGGTCCTCGTGCCCAAGTCGTAGGGTTTCAGGTCCCCAATACTAGCTTGACATTGCATGCTGAATGGTTTTCGTCTCCTAAACCCTAAACCCTAAACCCTAAACCCTAAACCCTAAACCCTAAACCTTCATTATTTGGGACGCTCGGGTGGGTCTCGGACCGTGGAGCAAAGGGGATGTTGTAACTGCTGTGGGTGCGGCATGTTTTGTTTCGGGGCTTGGGGGTTTCCGCGTTCAGGGTTTCGCACATAGGGTTTAGGGTTTAGGGCTTTCGGGTTTACCTTAACCCCAAAGAACCTCCCTTTTTCAGGACTTATATAATGAAACTATAATAAGGAGCCCTAAAAAGATAAGCTATCTAGGGTCGAGGTAGGGCTTCGGGCAGGTTGTGCTGGCTTCTGCAAGACTGAGTAGGCCCTACATCCCGTATGTCGAAGCTCTAACCCACACTGGCAAGGCCGCCGTATCCCCATGCTCCCAAACCCTAAACCCTAAACCCTAAACCCTAAACCCTAAACCCTAAACCCCAAACCCCAAACCCTAAACCCTAAACCCTAAACCTTAACCTCCCCATGCTCCTGCACTGCAAGCCTTCTCCACCGAAGAGTAATCGATGTCTGTACTTGGAATCGAGCGATGTTGAAGGATATCAATTCGAAAGTGGTATTACTAAGGCATTGCTATAGTGTTTCTAGGTTTGTACTTGAATATTACTAGAATATACTACTACAATATTACTATAATAGTACTACATGGTTACTGTGATATTACTACAATATTACTACACGTGTTGCTTCTTCGTAGATATTTTGGTACCCCAAAGTATGTCCGAAACTGCTACTTGGACCCTTTGGGAGTAAAACTATTCCTTGAGGGGTTCCTTCTTGTAGTCATGCTACAAGCAATAACATGCACCGAAACCCCGGTTCTAGTCATAAATTGTTGTTAAGGCTCTCCTCCATCAGAACCCGAATAGTAGCCCTTAATAAGACCCCTTCTGAAAGAACCCTTCACAGGAAACGTGTTCGAAAAATCACCCTAAAGGTCCATGTGCCCAAATAGTAATAGTATATACTTTGGCCCCAAAGTACATATGTACGGACTACTTTAAAGCCAAAGTATATACTATTTGGGTACATGGACCCTTAGGGTGAAAGCTTCTACATTAGTTTTTCGTGTGTCCTGGAAGAGACCCTAAACCCTAAACCCTAAACCCTAAGCCCTAAGAGGTTGGCCGATGTCAAAGTGATCGAGGCCGAGGTGGAGTCGTTCGTGAGTGCGGTCTGCAGCGCCCGGAGCCCATGTAGAGAAGCCCCATAGTAGTTCCTTTTTTGGGACTACCTTATAGGATTCTAAATATGAACCCCAAAAAGGATCTACTCTGGGGTTCCTTTTTGGGATTACCTTATAGGATTCTAAATATGAACCCCAAAAAGGAACTAATATGGGGCCTATGGGTGCAGAGGGGGACAGGGGAGTTTTGGTCAGGGTCAGGGTTTTATGGTGTAGGGTGAATGCGTGGGGCGGGTAGTTGCATGCTTTTTGCTGATTGAAGGATCATCAGCACGGTTAAAGCCCGGGGCTTAGGTTTAGTTTTGAATTCAAGCTTCGGGGTGTAATCTCACTCAGGCCGCAGACTCACCGAAATCAGCCGATGCAGCTTGATTGATGCGGACAAGGCAGGCACGCAGTCCGTTTTGCATAGATTTGCAGCTTACTGTTAGATGTCACTGCGCCACTGCGCCTTACTGCAATGGTTATGAGGCTCTGCTCCAGTTTGTTCAAGTAAATCAGTATAACCCCAATTCCTAATAAAACTTAACTTGAGCCTCACCATAAACTCTTCATCGCAATAGTTCTGGATGATGTGATAAGGCGACTGACCAACTCCATTCAGCTTCCACTTCCAGTCTCGGATTTCGCATGCTTGGGGTTGAGGGCTTAGAGTTTAAGGAGTTGCTTTCTGCAGGTTCTTGTAGCATCTACTCTCATATGTCGCTATATGCCAGCATGTTGGACCGTCAGTATCTTCATACCCTTCAGGTTCAGCAAAGGGAAGCCCTAAACCGTAAACCCTAGACCCCTAAGCCCCTAAACCCCTAGACCCTAATACTAAGCATCCTTCACCCATGTTCCAACTTTCGGACCACGGCCTGACCCCCAAGTAATCGACCTTTTTCTTCGCAGGTGAAGTAGGTCAAGATCATAAGCAGAGTCATGTCGGGCTTGTCTGCGGCTCAAGTAGGGTTCAAGCATGCAAGGAGCTGCCCGAAACCCGAACCCCAATTTTCCATGTCACCCACATGGTATATAGTTCGGCCTTATCCATGGACCTCTAAACCCTATAGGGTTTACCTGGACCCTATAGAACCTACTTTTTTGGGTTCCTTATTATGATTTATTCGTATAAGTCCTTAAAAAAGATAGCTTATTTGTAAGTCAGGCCTTAATTCAGGAATGTATAATGTAGGGGCCAAAACAATTACCAATACTATTTTTTTGGGGGGGGGGGTTCCTTATTATAGTTATATTATAATGGGCCCCAACAGCTTATTCTAATTTTCAAGGCCCCTATACTAAGGACTACGCCTTGAAGGGGGTTTTAGGGTTGAGGGTTGACGGTGTACCTTAAAGGGATCTATAAGGGTTTCTATACGGGTATGTACCATAAGAATTAAGGAACATATCGTGAACTATAGTAGCATCCCTAATATGATTTAATTTGTATGCCTGAATTAAGGGAGATTGGAAGGTCTGGGCAAGAAAACGGCGGGATCTAGGACTTTTTCAGGTGGGTAGTTACGGTTATAGGAGCCTTACAGAAGGTCTATATACCTTATAGAAGCTTCATAGAAGCCTTATATACCCTAAACTCNNCCACCTGTAGTTTCCTTTAACAGGACGAGCGGGGCCCTCGTGGAACAAGACTCGCGTGGTCACGTCGGAGGACTCGGACGGTCCCTGCACCCCGAACCCGAGCCCTACTTACGGCAACATAGGCGTTCGTGACGGATTGATTTTTAGCTTATAACAGTGTAACTACACGTCGAAAATATATGTATGTGTTTAATATATACATATACTCATTAAATATTTTTTTCGAAATATATTCGCATGTTTGTTTTAGTTTTCCATATAGTTTTTGTCAGTTATGTATGTATTTCGCTATCCATGTATTTGATTTGTTTGGTATGAAAGGTAGCTACAGATCTATTGTTTATACACAAATATACTCACATACAAACCTACAGACATACATACATACATGCATG